TAATTTTATCAAAGCATAAATATTTTTGCAAAAAATAAAAGAAAATAAATAATATTTATAAATCTAATCATTATTTTACTCAATTTTTCTCTTTTTTATCAATCTGGTTTTATAAATTATCTGAGTTGTATGTATGTATGAGAAATATGAGTATTATATCAGTCAGTTAATAGTAATCATTACAAGTGTTCAATGCATCGAGTTAAGAATCAATATTTTTTCTGTATAATCAATGGTACGACTAATCGTACTTACGAATGATGAGTGACGATGGGCCTACCAAGGTCTAGATAAACTGATGACGTATATATCGCGAGAATAGTAAGACTCATTAATGAATAAATCGGCCAAGGTGGATCTTGCGTCTTCAATTGTATATATACAAGGTGAAAGAAATAAAGGCTATAAATTGAACGTTACGCAAATATAGATTGATCTAGGAAAAAGAAATTATATCATATATACAACTGTCAACAATATTGAGTTCGGATATATTTTCATTTTGTTTAATTTTTTGGAACACTTCGTACAAAGACGTGATGCAACCTGTTAAAATATACGAGTCATCATACAAATCATAATAAATTTTCTTAAGTCAAACTCTAAATGGCTCAAAACATTCACCTTATCTTTTTTATCAATGCAGCATAGTAAACTACTTTATAATTTCACAGTGTCGGTCCGATTGTTCGTCCATTTGTCCGTCCGTCTGCAAGATTTCTCAGCAACGTTGACTTTTTCAAATTCAATTTTCGACTATAGACGAGAATTTGGTAAAATATAATCAGTTGATTATAAGGAATTCAAAAATCAAAGTGTCAATTTTAATGAAATTCTTTCATTAGTTTAATGAAATTCTTCTATTAGATTTTTCATTTGCGTTAGTACATCTGTTGGCTTTATATGTTTGTATATGTTCATTTTAAGTAAAAATTTTTGAGAATTTTAAACAATGCGAACAGATCTTATTACAATATAGATATATGAATGCCGACATTGCAAGTCAATGCTAGAAAAAAATTACAAATCTTACATAACACTACCTTAGACTTTTTAAATTATTTTCGATAATGTTTTTATTTTTTAAATGAAAAATAATTTAGACTATTTCAATGATTATGAAATAATGCATAGATTAGTAAAAATATATTGTATTATATGTTTAATGTATATTCGGACGCGAAGAGAAAGAAAACAAAGTGCAAAAAGTACAAATGACGCGAACAGACCATATGATACATATACTTTCTTTTTTCTATCTCTGTAAAAAAAAAGAAAGATAATAAACGTGAACATATATCAAGTCAAAGCTTAAAAATGCAGATTTTGAACAGTATTAATCTATAAAGATAGCTAAAAATTTCATTTTAATTAAGAAATTAATTAACATATCAATTTTAACATATCAACATTGCAAAAAATTATTATGAAATACATCTTCACAGATTTTTTAAGCTTATGTCATTAAAATCTTATTTCATTTTTATTTTTATTAAACAATATGATATCTAGAAGTTTGGCCTGATAAGAATAAATCTAATTAAATAAGAGAAGTCCTATATTCGGTCAAAGCGGATCTCAGTCTCGGATCTTTGACCGAATACAGGACTTTTCTTATTTAATTAGATTTATTTATAAAAGATTATTATATTTAATTTAACTTGTTTTTTATTGTACGCAATGAAAGAATGATTTTTTGTTACGAGACAAAATGACGATTTTTCCTTATATAAGAGATATTATATCTGGGAAACGATGTTGAGCGAGTATCGATTTTCGCGAAATAGGAGACGATGGACAGTCGACTAGTGGAGTCAATCGCAGATGCTGTCTCATCCATTAAATGTCGCCTTATATCACGCAGGCGATATAGGTCGCGCACGTGCAGCGGCATGCGTTCTGCGAATTTTCCGAGACTCATCGAGTCGAAAACCAGATGACGAAGTTGTGGTTCCACCCACGCAAAGATTGAATTCTGAGGTGTCTCGACGCGCTCCGTTTAGAGAGAGAGACTTCAGGCTTCATTTAAATCCACGGACTTTTTGGTTGTCTTGAGATTGGCAACAGCTAAGTCGCATAATACAGACACAATTTGAACATTTTCGTTAACACGAAACGTTTATCGAATTAATTTTTAAATTTATTATGTACTTGATTAATCAGCTTTAAGTCGTAGGGTAGTTAAATTTAAATTTAAAGGCTATTGAGAAATTAAATTTCAAAGTCGCGAACATTCTTTAATTAACTTTTAAAGAAACATTTTAACAAATTTCCAATACATATATATATTAAAAAATTTCCAATACATATATATATTAAAAAATTGATTATTTTATATATAATATTACAAATTAAGGTAATGGTCTTTACATAAGAGCAATTGACTTGTAATCGACACTTTCCTGATCGTCATGCCTGTGTCATGTGCACTAGTTTTATAAAAAATTGGATTGGGGAGTTAAAAATCATTTCATTTATTCATTTATTTAATAGTAAATATTAAAAATTAAAAATTTGATTACAAAATTATATATGTATATATCTCTCTTCAATATTTTATTAAATTTACAATTACTTAAGAGACGTCGTGTATAAAAATTACTAACTGTCGTGCATAATAAACATCTGATACAATGAATCTTTCCAAATATATAGATATAATATTCATCAATACTGTGATCTCTAATTGCGTGACAAAATAATAAAGTTAATAGATCAATGAAAATAAAAAATAAATAGCAAGTAATTTTATTATTTAACAAAAAGCATTGGCCGCAGCAGATCCATATTCCGTAATCACTTCCCTGATTTTCTCTCTTTCGCAAGAGAAAAAGAATTTCGAAGAAATTCCGAGTTCGCCGAGTCAAGCAGAATGTTCATTCAAAGCTTACCTTTGAACGAATTTCGGACGAGAGTCATGCTCATATTCACGGGAGCCGGTGCCTTGAGGGTTACGTCCGGCGGCTCCTCTTCCTCCTCTTCCTCCACCTCCTCCTCCTCCAGCTCCGGCTTCGGCTCCTCGACGTCGCGGCCAGGTTCCGTTCTCCGGCGGAGGGAGGCGTCAGCTCGATTTTCGCCTCACGACGACGAGTTCGTTGTCCATCGGCGTTCTAAGGCACAGCGGCGCATCAACATCGCTGCAATTTCTTCTTCTTCTTCTTCTTCTTCTTCTTCTTCTTCTTCTTCTTCTTCTTCTTCTTCTTCTTCTTCCTCTCTTCTCAAGTCGCCTCTCTCACGTACTTTCAACTCTCGCTGCCTTCGCGATACCTCGTTGCGGCGCGCGCATGCGGAGGTCCACCGTTATCACTCCCTTGTCACCCGATCATCTATCCTCTCTTCATCGCTATCACTACAATCATGTGCTCTATCGTGGTTCAAGACATAGACTGACGAGACGAATCGCTCGTTTCATCGTCGCGACACGGCTATGTGGACTTCGACGATGGCAATGACGTTGGACCGTCCAGAGGTCAGAGGAACGGCAACTTACCGCTCGATCAAGTGTCCACCGGCAACGGACATGGAAAACGCGCGTCACTGCTGGTTCATTGACGAGGAAGAGGCACGAAATGCTAAGGAAAATGTGGAGGCTGTGCGAGAGAAAATTGAACACGCTGCTCTTGACAGGACGGAGAATTCCAGTTGTCGAAATTGTGCTCCAATCAGGTTGCTCCAATCAGGTTTTCGGAGATCCTCTTTGGTGATGCGCGAAGAGGCAGGTAAATGACGGGCGGGACCGGCGGTCACCGGCGTATCACCAATACTTTATGTGAAATAAGTCTCCCGCGGGGATTCCAGGTGAGTTTGGTGCCAGAATTCGCACCACGAAATGCCATCCACGCCGAAACTTGGAAACGTCAGTCTCAGCCGCGCGTCATTCCCTCCGGCTTTTCTTCCTCGCGTCTTGCCGTCGCGACGCTCTCGTAATTTTGTGGTCGTTGTCGAGACGGTGGACGGTTGAAACGCGCGCGACGACGGTGGCCACGACTACGCTTTGTAAATAATCATTTCACTCGCGCGCGCGTATATCGCGGGATCGCGCGGAAACGCCGAAATGAGAGGGATAGAGAAAGAGAGAGAGAAGGAGAGAGAGATAGGGAGAGAGAGAAAGGGAGACAAACGAAAGATAGAAAATGAGAGGGAAAGAGGGAGAGAAAAAGAGAGAAAAGGGAGAGGCTACTCCGTGCTCCGGGTATATTCGCGGGAATATCGCGCACAAGAATGTTGCACGCTCCTTTTTTCTTACTCTTCTTGTAGTATCGCTTCTTCTTTCTTCTCCTCCATCTCCTCCTCTTTTACCTTCTCCTCCCCTCCCTACTCCATCACTTCCTCCTCCACTTTCAACACCTTCTCGTTTGAGACGTCCGTCTTCGCACCACGCACCACCGACGTACCAGGAGAGAAAGAAAAAAAATAAAGGGAAGCACTCCCGATAACGAGAAGATCAGAGAAGATGGACAATAACGGTGGGTGACTACACGCGCGGAACAGGGGAGGACCGAGAGGACGGTGAGAAAAGGGTGCAGGGAAGGGGACGCGAGACGGATGCGAGACGGTCAAGAGAGTGTGTGAGGAAGAAACACGAGACGGGAATTGGGAAAAGCGAAAGAGAAGTGAGAGAGGATGGCTGTGTGTGCGGATGGTGTGTCAAGACATAGCAGAGAGACGGAGCGGGCAACAAGGCAGAAACGGTTCGGTGCGTTACTAGCAGCCTCGCGCCGAGTAGAGAAGCCAGAAGCACCGGGTAAAACACGATTCCCTAACTAACACACACGGAGACGGATCGGGGACTGCTTTGGAGCAGTTTACTATAGGATGGGACACGGATGGTGATGGCGGCCGTGTAGCCGTAGCAGCCACCGCCCCCATACTCCTTCTCTCTCTATCTACTTCTATCTCCGTCCCGTTCACGCTCACCGTCCACCCTCTCCCTCTCCAACGCGAACCAAATCTCCCCTCTCCTACATCGAGAGATCGGCTCTCTCCCTCTCTATCTCTCTTTCTCTTTCTCTTTCTCTCTCTCTCTCTCTCTCTCTCTCTCTCGCCCCTCCGACGATATAAACGACGATGGACACGCTGGAATATCCCTCCACTCTTCGCTTTCCTACACGTTCCCTCGTGGGCTACCGGCCGATGAGATCTCTCCCCCTGCATCCTCCGCCTCCGCCTACGGTGTGCCGCCGCTGTCCCACGTCCGACGTCTCACCCCTCGGCTTCCCTCTCTCGCCCGCCATCACCCTCCACCAACGCAATGGGCAGCCCCCTCCTGCTCTGCCGCCCGCCGTTCCTGGGACAGCGAGATGTTATCCTCGAGCGATTCGTGCGTGTGCTATATATCCGTTTGTCCGCCGTGCCGTGCCGTCGCCACATCCCCTACCTGCGTCGCGTTCCCCTACGTCAACGTCGGCGTGTGCGTCGGCCGCAATCAAGACTAGGACCGTATCCACCACCAGCACATGCCCTGCTCCACATTGGTCAAGCGGCACGAGCGAAAGGTCGTAAAAAAAATTATGGCGTATATACTTCATGTGTTGTTTCAGCGCTTAAAACATTTTTGGTCATTCTAAAAATATCTTACTTACACGTAACATTAAGAATATTTGTCCTATATTTAATCGAATGTGAGATTCGTTCATTTTAGCTAAGCTAACTTTATTATGCATATTCGTACATTTTACTGTACTGTAGATATAAACTTGAGAGATTTTTATTAGACTGTAAGGATCTAGCCAGACAAACTCGTATAGAGTCTCATAAATGTATGCATAAAGAAAATTATTCAATCGCATTTTACGTACGCGGTTTTTGTAAGAAACAGAAAGAGGTAGAAATGCGTTTAGATCATTTTCTTTATACGGATGTGTTGAAACGATCAATGTGTGCATAAAGAATTTATCTGGATATGTCCTTCTCTCAAGCTCTATGAAGAATATACTAACAATGACAATTAATCATAAGAAGAATATATTAACAATGAATCATAAGAATCAAATTACAAATGAAGTATTTAAAAATATTTCTTGCAAACGGAAATCGTGATATTATAATAGTACGTGTCGATGAGAGAGAATTTTCATAAATAATAAATCTACATGGGATTACTTCAAAGTCTGTAGAAGAAGTTATCTTCATTTTGCAAAATATTTTACTGTTAATATTACAATTGAGGATTTTGTAATAAAATAACTTTTGAAAGTAAAATTATACTGATTTTCTAATATAGTCAAAAATACAAATTTAATATATTGATTTTTCGTTGTTATTGCGACATTGATTTATCATTGTTTTATACCTGCTAAAATTAATATAGTAAAGTAATGAAATATTGAGCTACCGTAATGATTGTAAATTGATTAATCATCGGAGGGAAGTCGAAATCAAAAAATTTTTATGGTTTATTCTCATATCGACAAAAAGTTGTTATCGCGCTCATTAACCGGAAACCATAGTATCTTCGGCTTTAGCTGATACGCAGACGTTGTTGCTTCATTCTTTATCTGGCAAATGAAAGGATGCGTACACGTTATATGGAGATGCGTGTGCGGTATGGCTATTTCCTTCGAAGCACGTTGGTTCTCTCTTTCTCTTTTGAAGATTGAACTCCGCAGAGAGAAAATGGTGCGCCCAGCGTGCATCTTGGAAGGAAAAGAATTATACTACGGTTTGACCTGCAAGCTATCATAAATGCATGGACGAACAGAAGTTGCTTTCTTTACTCTTTTGACACAAAAATTTCGACAGAGTTATTCGGTATTTAACATGTATTTATTTCACGACATTGATGTTGTTGCTATTTAAAAAAAATATTAGTTGATTTAAATGCAATTTTTGTATACTGTATATTTTAAAAAATTGATGTAAGTACACTATATCTTTTTATAAGCTAAAGTTGATAAGAGCACACTTCTCTATTGTACATATAATCAGTAAAGAATTAAATAGTTATAAAAATGTTGAATAAATATTGTTGTTATAATGGAAAAAAGATGAAGAATATTTCTATATAAGAATAATTTCTATATAAGTTATTTGATGAAATATATTTCTTTTGGTATTTAATAAATATATTGGAGGGTTTTCTATAAATTAAATAAAAAGAAATATTAAGAAATGAATAAAATTTTTAAAAGCAAAAAAAGTTTCGAATTTTGTTTAATTCAAATTTAAATCTGGAGGTTTTAAGAGATTTAATTTTTGATTGAAATGTATAAGTAGGTATAAATAAATAACGAAATTTTAAGAAAGAGATCAATAAAAATAAATCAGAATATTTTGATTATCTTAGTGATTAAAAATTAATTAAATCTAATTAATTTAAATCTTGCAACAAATATCTATCATATTATATAATATCATAATATAGTATAAAGCGCAGAATTGATTTTTCTAAAATATGTGTAATTGCACAACGAAGTTAAACGCTGAACGTTAATTATGCGGTGAGAACGGAGAAGTAGCAGAAATAGCGCGCGATAAGGTTCAGTTATCTGCGTTTAATTCCCTTGACTTTTCACCGCTGTAAGGCAAATGATACGTCCGCAAAATGTGCACGGGAATTGTTTATTCTAACTAAGCGCATAATGCGTAGGAGGATGTGTCTATAACATTTCAAACATATCCTTTTTGATGAATAATTGTTAAAAATTAGACGTTAATGATATATTTTTTTCATTACAGACAGCGGTCATGTATATAAATATAAACAAATGAATTAGGACTTTTATTCGGAGTCTCTCAGTTATAAAAATGTATTTACTTTTATTGTTATTCCTACTTCAAGTCCAAATTTTCTTATTTTATATTATTTTATATTTAATATATTTAAAGAGAAAACAAAATAAATTCTTTCTAGTTTTTTTTTTTATTTAAATTCTTAACTTACATAGGAGTTTTTTGAAAATGGATATATATATATATATATATATATATAGGTAATTGTTTTTATTTCATATTTTATTATAAGGTTGTAGAAATCTAGATTCGAATGATATTTGTAATTATTTTCACGGATTATAATGTATTACATACAACTGATATAATTTTCAGTAATTTTAGACTCAAAATATTATTTTGAAATTAAGATTAATATCTACTGAGATTTTAATGCATTCTTGAAATAAGTTTATACATTACATTTCCTTGAATTATTGATTTTCTAAGAAAGGAGAGCAGATATATCTTGTATTACAAGAAATCATTGATGAAACAGGACGTAAATAAGATAGCAATGTGAAATGTATTATCATATCTATCAAGAGATGAGAACGTTATGCTGAAGTCTTATCTACTATATGTTATCATGTTGCTATGTTAACTGTACATGATTAATAACTTTTCCGATAAATAATGCTTTAATCATGTTCTTCTAAACATCTCATTGCTATCACGCGATGCTGGGAAAGATTTCCAAAATGTGAAAAAGAAGATTAATAAGAAGTTTTAATCAGGAAATGGAAAGTTACTTTTTAAAAGTAACCAAGTAGAAAAAGTAACAAGTTACTGCTATCGATTTTTAAAAGTAACTCGTTACAGTTACTGTTATTTGAGAAAGTAACTTTTCGTTTCCATTACTTTTTTAAAATCGATGACCACTAATCATAACGAATAATTGTAAAACTTGTTACCAAAAAAATGTAACTACCATTACAATTACTAAAAAGAAAGTAACGCAGTTATCAGTAAAGTTATCAAAAAATAACTTGTAATTGTAATTTCGTTACAAGTAACGAGTTAT